TTTCATTTTCCAGCAGGGTTTTAGACTTCACATTGCAAATTGAAAGGTAGCTAAATGTTACCATGTATCAATATATGGAAATTTAAAAGAACCCAGTCCAATATGTTGAATTTCTAATTATTCATCCTGTTAGCAATGTTTTCCAGTTCTTTCCAAAGTTTGGTATCCTATTCTTTATCTCATGCTGCCCCAGAATGGCAAAAGAAAGGCAATAAAGAGAGCAGAATGTATTGGCTCAGCAAGATGGGAATTGCAATTCAACACATTAGGAACACTCTAGGCCAAATTAATATCTCTGTATTGTTTATTTGATAATGTTTGCGTGGGTCTCTCCTTGCCATGTGCCTATGAGGAATGTAGTCAAGGCTTACAAATATTTGATACTGAATATAACATTCTTTCATTAGTAAATCGTGTTCTCTGCTCTTCTCCATAGTGGGCTCAATGCTAGGATATACAGTATTTATCACCATAATACCCCAAAAACTTATTATTACATTGGGATGCTAGATGTTGTTTTATACTGTTTAAGACAGGGGTGTCCAACCTTGGCAACTTTAAGAATCGTGGACTTCAACTCCCCTGTGTAGTATCGAACTATGCTAGGTTAGCAACCATTAAAATGACAAGAATCAAAAACAGCCTGGAATTATGTAATGGATATACTGAAGTTATATCATCTTGGAGGGGCAGATCATCTTGGAAAAAGTCTATTTATGTGGTTGCTAAGGCTTGACACTGACTTGAAGGCACATAATTAGTCCTGAAGTCATGGGGGGAGAATGAAATGCATTTAGGAAAGTCAGAGTAATTTCTTTTCCACATCTGCAGTTTTTCTGCTCCAATTTATATTTTTATTGCCTTTTCCCCTCCTGCATAAAATTCAAATATTTATAGGTTTGTATTTGGAAATCACTGGAATTGGGAATCCCTGGGGAGCAGTTTGGGGGAGAAATGATAACAAATGTAGAGAAAGAATTAAGCAGATTTCCTCTTTATTATTTCTTAACTGAAATGGCTCCTTAATCAAACAGTTTTTCATCTTTTAGGAAAAACCTGGGTTATTGTATGCATATGCCATGCAGAATAACTGTATCCAGAGTTCTGACTGATTAAAGTTAGTATCTACTATGAAGCACGAGTGTTGGTGACACAATGTTAAGAAAGAGCACACGTGGAGGTGATCACTTCTCAGTGTTTCATTGGTTGCCTCTGCTTGTTGAGTATCACAGCTCCTTTCCCAGCATGGGCCAACAAAAATGCTTATGCCTATGATAGTGATGGCGAATCTTTTAGAGACCAAATGCCACAAAACCGCCCCACCCCCTGCCCCAGTCCCTGCCCCATCCACCCCACCCCTGCCCTCTCCCTGCTCCACCCCCACCCTGCCCACCCACAAGGCCACCCACCACCTCCAAGGCCCATCACAGATTGCCTTGGTGACCCTGCAATGCCATGGCAGCCATGGCCTCTGCCCGTACCCTGCAGCATCATCTGTGCATAATGGGGCATGAGGGCGGAGTCCTGTCCCTGCTGCCAGGCTGCCATGTTCTTGGTTGTGCTGTTCCGTGCGGGCCTAGCCCAGTGGCGACTCTCCTCCAGGGGGCTGCTGCTGAGGAGGGAGCCGCGGGGGTAGGCAGGGCTGGGGTGACAGCGCGCGTGCCCACAGAGAGGGCTCCAAGTGCTGTCTCTGGCATGCATGCCATAGGTTCGCCACCACTGGTCTATGACTTTCTCTCTTGGTTTGCCTATAAGGTCAGAACTTGGGCAGATGGAGATGGCCTGTCTTCCATTAGGAGAGAGAGGTGAATGACCAGTATTTAACTATTAAGTAGAGATCTCAGGGAAGTCTAAAAGCCTGTATATGTCATTCTACAATATGAAAGGACTTTTGAAAAAAAAAAGATGTATGCTCCCTGGTTACCAAACATCAATGAAACAATGACAGGGCAAGGCTATTCTTGAAATAAGATGAACACAGGAAAGTTTCCTGTGTTTTCAAATTCAGCAGACGATTATGGTATGTATTTGAGACTGCTTTCCTTCAACAGCTTTGAATCTGAGTAGAGAACTTGCTTTCAGTAATAGTAATAACTTATGTGGTAATAACTTCTTTAAATGTGACCTATGAGCATAACAAATATAAAAGAAAAGCAAAATACATTTGCTGCCCTGCTGGTCTTTGGTTTCAAGACCATTTAAATTATTAAGTATCTTTAATGTGTAGCTTTCTATTACATAGAAATGTAGGAAGCTCAGCTAAAACTTAAAACAAATTCAGATATCACAAGTTCTTTAGCCAATCAAATACACTAAAATAGAAGTGGCAAATACTTTCCTGCAAGGCAGATGCCTAACTGGGCCAGTTTTCAACACCCAAATCACAATCACATGATCACAGGGCACTCACTGCAATGACCAGAACTTCAAAGAACAATTATAAGTGCCACTTATTTAGTGCCATTACAAATTTAAATGACTGCTGAATGAACAACTGTTAAATGAGGACCATCTGTACATCTCCTGTTTCCTTTCCTTCTCCAATTGTGGGTCACAATGGAAGAATTTCGCACATGGCACTGGGCCCAGAAAGATGCAGAATGTTTACTGCTGAAGCTGATGGCACAGGCTGTGTCTGCAAAAATAGCACTGTGTTAGGTGTCAGTGACACCTTTTGAAGTGTGGCTGCTTCTTTTGATAAAGATCCATTATCTCTGTGTTGGGTTTTGTAAGAAGGTAGCACAGAGTGCTGCAAAGGATTGTAACAAGGAATAGAAAGCTATGCATTTCTGAAGCACACATTTGATTCATACAATAAGCTTTGTCTATATGATATCTTTGGACAATGTCATTAACTTGTTAAATGTAAACTTAGGTTATTTTATTCTGGCTTAAATCATGTGCAAGCCAGCAAATCCTGCAGCAAATCAAAATCTGCAAGATGGCAGATTTTGTCATGACTGCTACCCAGCATCAGATATACTGTATACAGATCTTTGATTACACTGCTATACCTTTCATCTATCAAAAATCCCATCCAAAGTCTCATTACTGTGATTGATCTGAATTAGACTTTGGATTGGAATTAGTGGGTTGCTGTATTCCAGAGGTGTCAAACTCACAACGTCATGTGACGTGTCACGGTGTATCATGACTTTTTTTTCCACTGTTTTGAATTCTCCAAAGGAAGAATGGATTAAAATGTCATGTAATATAATAATATACTATGTGATATTGCAATTCTAATGTGTGATATTGTACATGTTTCAATGTGGTATTTTTACTTCAACAGCTAGTTAAACAGATGTGGAACCAAGTGATGGAGGGACAGAAGATTCAGCTGTCAAAAAGACATTTAAGTTCTTTTTGGTGATCATCTAAGTCCAGAGCTGTTTTTGTTTTCTTTGGGTTGCAAACTCTTCTTGGACATATTGACAGTCCTGGATTATGGATTGCAGTCCTTGCTTCTTAGAGTTGCATCTGATACAGTCCAAACACAGATGCAATTTCTAAGCACATCCCCCCCAAACTGACTAGCTTTCAGTGCTATGGACAGATGCAGGGCCCCCTGAACTGAGAGGCCCATCTTGTTTATATTGTCTGTCACTTTATCTTGTCTGTCCATGTGGTAAATTGATAAAATGCAGGAGTGATTTATGATTGCCTTCTCTCATGTGGTATGAAAAGATACTTTTTCTATTGACATTGTACAAATCATCTACCTCTAGCTTTATCCTTTTTCACTGCTGTCCAATATAGGTGCCTGCTTGTGTCAGAACCTTCAGTTATTAATTGTGCATATTCTCTGGGTTTAGGTTATTCAAGTCCTGCCATTCTCCTATGAGGGAAGGAGGAGTAGCCGGGGGGTTGTAATGCACATAGACCATTTCCTCTATCTGCTTTGATGTATCCTTTATGGCAGGGGTTCCCAACTGGGGGGGTGCGAGACAATATTTCAGGGGGTGTGAAAACTTGGGTTTCCAAAATTATAGTGTATATGCATAATTCATTGCCATTATTTCAAACTTTTGTAAGGGGTGCGAGAATATATCAGAAGTGTTCTAGGGGTGCGGGGTACAGAAAAAGTGGGGAGCCGCTGCTTTATGGGGTGTGAAAGGAATGCCTTGTGGCCATCTGCCTTATCTCAGCATGCAGGGAGGAACTGGAGAAGACCTAACAACCTTAAGAGAGGCGCCTTATCGGTTGCTTTCCCACAGCTCGATGTCCCCTGTGGATTGGCCTGTTTGAACCGACCGGATGGATAGTTGGGGTGGGGTTATTATTTCATGGGTTTAACCTATTGATTTGGGAGGGAAACCCTCAGATCCTGCCTAGCTTTCCTGCTTTCTGTATCTGCCAATAAAAGTTCCTTTTGAAATGATGCCAGTTTCAAGAGTTCTGCTTTCTTGGTAGAGAAACAGAAGCAGGTCCTTACAGCTTGCTTTAGCTGAGCCAATGGGATGACCTCCATGCATTGGATTACCTTGCTGAAAATATGTACTTGGTGTTCTTTGCTCTTCCTTCCCAGGAACATCCCCTAAGCTTCCACAATTCTGCATAGAAATATCTGTTAACTGGCCAAGTTTCAATGGAGCCAAGAAAAAAAAAAGCCACATTCACTAAGGCTGTCAAGGCATGCTTTTGACCTTGGTTCTTTATATTGTTGAAAAAGCTGTATCCCAGGTCAGGAAGCCAACATTCAAGATGATCATGCTGTGGATTTCATATTTTTCAACCAAACAAATTGTTTTTAGTTTTGCAAATGAAACTTAAGAGACAATTTACTGATACCAATAAATTTGCTGCCAGCAGTGGGAAAACTATCTTAGTGTTCATTATTTTCTTTTTGCAGATTTTTCAGTGAGATTTTTCAGTGAAATTTTTCAGTGAGAAGGTAATGCAAAAGCTGGAGGCCAATAAACTTTCTAAGCTGAAACTTCTATTTCATACTCAAAGCATTTATTTTTTGTAAAAAATACTTTTTTGCCAGAGAATAGAAACCTACTTTAGTACCAATGGACTGAAAATTAAAACTGGTCTGGAGAGGCTGAGCTTCAGGACCAACCACAAACATTTACAGTACAGAGTCTGTAGCTGGTATACCTAGCATTGAATGTGTTACCATCACTCTCTTCTCCATATGTATAAGGGAAGCTATAATGCAGGAACCGAGATGGGAAAATTGATAAATAAGTAGTCACAAGCTAACAGAAAAACGTCTTCAAATATTGTTCAGTCAGTGTGAATTTTCATCTATGATCGTCTTTATCCAGGAGATATAGGTGTCTGTGAGCTGAGTATAGATGCCAGGGTATTGGGGATTGTCACATTTTTTAACAAAGGAAACAATACCTAATTGCTGCCCTCTGCATATCAAAGGCCCACCGTCATCACCCTGAGAAAAAAGACAGACAGGGGTGTGTTAGCATTCACAAAAGCTAAGATAGCTCTGCTGATCTATGCAGAAAAAGTAACAAAAACCAGCAATTAGATGACTCTAAGTCTAATTTTTGTTTTTCCTAGGATCACACAATCGAAAATTAATGGCAAAATAACAACTCTGGCTAGTAAAAATTTTATTTATTTTTAACAACTTAAATATATTCAATTTCAAAGAAGCTTAGTAGGTTTATTTTGCACAAATCTCATTTCTCCTATAAAATAAAAAGGGGCAGAAAATGTTGCTTCTTCCATACTCATGATATCTCTGCACCACTTCTGGGGTTCTTGGAGAAAATAATAATTTAAAAAGTTCCCGGTGGAAGAAAAAAGTTCCCGGTGCCTAAGGCATATCAAGATATAAATGGGGTGTAATGTGTTATTTTCTTAATTTAATGGATTCTGAGCAATCTGAAACACTGGTTTCAAAATGGCCGGCATGGTCAAGTGATCAAAGCCCCACCCATTTTTAATAGGCAACATCTCACACATACTACAGACAGGTAAAAGGAAATGGGGCTTCAAGTTCCTGGTTGGATCCGCTGTTTTGAAGCAAAGGACTGTTGCTGTGGATTATCCTGCAATTTATAAGCCAAAGAGCCAGAAGGTGTTAGCCTTTTGAGGCTGTCTAGATTAGGAAGTCCACTCTACAAGAAGACTAGAACTATACTTTATTGAGATAGTCTTTAGTAACAGAATCTTGCATTTTCTCTTGCCTCCCTATTATATGCTGAGGAGTCAGGGAGGAATTATTCTGGTCTTTCTCTTATACTTTCTCCTTGTCCTGGGCTTAAACCATGTCTTTCCATATGTGGTTGTAAGAGTTTTGAACAGTTTCTCAAAGGTCATCCCTATGAGTCCCTACAGATGACTAAGTTCCTTCAGTTGATCAGTAATGGAAAAGCTTATCTCCTCTTTCAAAGAGGACAGTCTTGTCTCCGAAGGGCTCTCAGATCCAGTGCAATGTAAAAAAAAAAAAAATCCTATAAGAAGAGATACTAGGAACCTGACATTCAATTGTTTGCACTTTAGCAGCAGACACTGTAACGATTACAAAGGTCCTATGGTCACTCAGTGGGGAAATCAACAGCACAATAATTCTCTCTTCTTAAATTCACATTGTAATTGTGAGGATATATCTTTCTACATAAAAGAATGTACAATATGTTTGATGGACATTTGTATCAACTCTTTTATTCCAATTTTTGAAAAGACATTTCCTGTTATTTATATGTGTAACCTCCTCCAATTCTGGTGGACTATGGGCAAAGAAAAATGAACATTTAAAAAGGATATGAACAATAACAATAAGAAATTCTGGTACACGAAGGGCTCCATATATTTAGCCCAAGGGCCACATACCTGTTGGAACAATGCTGTTTTAGCTTGTATGCAAAATACTTGTAGACTAAGGTCCATCCTTATCTTTGGGGATAGTGTTCATATAATGGGGCCGGACTCCTTACTCTCCCAAACCCATATGGGGTCTATGGAAGTGATCATCTTACCTGGTAAGCAATCTTAATCTGCACAGAGTTATCTTACCACACATAAATCCTTTTCGCTGTTTTTCTCTCCAGCGCATACCATCTTCATTGTCACAAAAGGATGAGAATTATAATGTTTCTTATCATTGCAGATATTTCTGTCAATGATGGTGACGTTAACTGCACGGAATTTCTTAAATCTCCTTCTTTTACTAATAGTTCCCCATCCTTTTACGATGCAGGAAGTTCCTGCTTTGATATCATGGGTAGACTTAGGAAGTGGGATGACGTTCATTTTAAGCTTTGTTGCCATAATATGAAGCTGATAAAATAAAATAAAAATAGCTCATTTGAATTAAGTTTTAATAGATGTTGCTGATTATATCACTCCTTAATCTAACTCAGATTTGTGGGAAATTAATCTTCTTTTCTTACCAGTTGGTTTACTTTCCCACTCCAATAAAAGGGTTTACTTGGAGTCTACAGATGAGAGATAAATCTCATATTCCAATGCTGAGATAGGTAACTCTTTTCTTTTACAGATCAGAAATAAATCTTTCCTCTTCCTTAATGCTGGGACAGGTGAAATGAGAAAATATGGAAAATCAATGGAGCGGGGGAAAGAAGTAGATATAAAGGAAATCCTGAAAACTGTTTGGCCTACAACCCATGAATTCTCTTGCTTGGCTTATAGCACACTCAAAAATAACTGATGGAATTCAAAGCTGGTTCCAGATAGTGTATTGGTATTTCCCAGAAATAAGTACTTCTGCAGAGAAATACTTCTAATATCCCCAGAATGCTCACCATATTAAACAGTACAGTAGCTATAAATAATCACTTTTGAATGCCTGCTAAGTGAAGGTGATAGAATGAAGTTGAGTAGACATACGAAACAGCAGACAATACGTTTTTGATAATGGAGTTTTAGCAGGCCTACCATGTGAAAAAGTTTGCTCTTACAGGTATTATAGTCTTGATGAATTCCCAGGAAATTATTTTGCAATCTGAACAAGCAAAAACTCTCTTGAGTGACAAGCAGGCCTGTACCATTCAGACTGCAGAAGTTCCAATTTTGGCACCTTGTTGAAGTTACAGTCTTTTACACTTCCATTTCTTCATTTCACTCTTCTCTCTTTGGTTCTTATTTAGATTATGCATTTTGGCTTCCTGGTTCTAGTAATTTTGAAGTTTTTAGGTTTTTCACTCTATCATTATACAGTAATGATCCTTCCTGATTTGTTAAACCTTATTGGTTTGATTATTTTATTGTGTTATTGTTTTATAAAATTGTAAACTAATTCGTTTTGATTTGTTGTGTTTGATCAAGAGCCAGGAAATAAACAAGCATAAATTTTAATTACATTTTGCTCAAGGATCATGCTCATGTCAATAAACACAATGCTATAGTTTTTTCCTCAGAACATTCACAATCAATTCACAGATTTACCTTCAAAAGCATAATATCATTTTCAAATGTTTTTGGATTAAATCCTGGATAGAAAAAGATTTTGGTAATGTTTATAAAATCTCTTCCTTCATTTTTAGTTATGGCTTGTCTTCCAACACCAATATATGTTTCTTCACTCCTAAAAAGAGAAGTTAACTTAGAGCACATGTAGTCACTATCAAAGGACAACTGCTGCCTTTCCCAAGCCCTTGGGAAGGATTCGATAGGTGGCAGAAATGCCAAATCCAGTCTGGTTGACTGCACAGTGAACCATAATAACATCACTTCTATGTGATTTATTGACTGACTGATTGATTGATAGGTATTTAACAGTTGTGTTTTACTGAGTTAACTTAAATCCTATGGTAGGTAATTATTTCTAGCAAGTTATACTATAAATCAACTCTAGATATCTGGGTAGAAAAGATCTAATAGGCTTGCCTAAAGTATGTTTGAGAACTGATACAATTGCAAGAAAACTTTTGAACAAAATATGGATACTCACGGAAAGCAATGGGCTGCTGTTAACACCCAGTTCTGTTTGATCAATGTTCCTGCACATAATAAATGTTTGTGTTTGATGAGACCAACCACGTATGGTATTGAATGTTCTTCCTCTTCAGCTACATCTGCAGATTGACCTATGAGAAAAGCCAATTGGATTGGGTTGAATAAGCACATCACACTATGAATTAATTATGAATTAACTATTGAAGAGCTCCATTCACTGACTGTAATCACATGCAAGCAATGAAGTAAATAAAGATGATCACATTAGTTCTGCTTCTTCTGTTTTCATATTTATGGTGAAGTTTCTGTTGCTAGAATTTCTCTGCGCAATTTAGAACCCTGCAAATCAAAATTTTAAAACATATAATGAAGACTTTTTGATGCACAAAATTAGTGCAAATGGTGACAGAGGAGGTTAGCATTAGAGCACTTATTCCTTTTATCCTTATATTTAGGATATTTTTCCAGTTGGAATTGAGGAGGGTATTGTGATTTTGGACCAGTAGGTTCATTTCACAGTGTGAGACTGTGTCATGGGAAGTCTAACAAAATAAATGTTGGGGAGGCTTGTCCATACACAAAATGGCAGCTAGTTGCAAACCAGCCATTTTATAGAAGGAAACAGGTTGATTCCTGTTATAGAAGGCTCCCTCTCCTTCCTCAGTTTACTTTGGGGGGACAGTAGAATAGTGGGACACCATTCTTTGCAAGACAGTGGATCCAAGCTGTTTTTGAAGTAAATCTACATGTTTGAAAAATGTGAGAGTTATAATTTTTAAGTCACAATGAATAGCTTGGGTTGTGATAGACTATTATCAGAGAGAAATGCAATGAAAGTATTTTGCATTTGGATATGCAAAATTCAAATGTATGAATAGCAACCTCAAGTGCAAAATGAGTAGAAACTCTTTGAAGCTTTATTGTAATGCTTTTCTATTTGGGAGAGAAGATAATTACTTTGCTTGCTGTGTCAGCAGGGTCCAAGGCTTTTATCAAAACAATCAATCAATCAGAATAGATCTGGAAAGGACCTTGGGGGTCTTCTAGTCCAACTCCCTGCTCAAGCAGGAGACCCTATACCATTTCAGAAAAATGGTTGTCTAGTCTTTTCTTAAAATCTCTAGTGATGAAGCACCCACAAGGACTGAAAGCAAGCTATTCCACTGGTTAATTGTCCTCACTGTTAGGAATTTTCTCCTTAATTCCAGGTTGCTTCACTCCTTGATTAGTTTCATCCATTGTTTCTTGTCTTCCTTCTGGTGCTTTGTAAAATAAGTTGATCCCCTCTTCTTTGTGGCAGCCGTTCAAATACTGGAAGACTGCTATCATGTCACCTCCAGCCCTTCTTTTCTCTATGATGAGAGCAACATCATGCAAGGGCGACAGATGTTTCCACCTCTTTCATATATCCATGTGACATCACAGAGCATGTTTGAAAGATATGAAATTTGCATCATGCTGGAGTGATGCGCCCCTTTGATCCTCTCCTGTGGTCATTTCTGCCTTTGTACAAATCCCTCCATGTATCATTGAGGCTTTGAAAAAAAGGCTTTATTCAAAATCTTTTAAAGCCTTGTTGGTGCTAGAAAATCATTTGCTAGTTGGGGAAGAGCTTTTACTTTTTGGTGGAGCAGAGGGTGGGGCTGGGCTGGGCATGGAGCTGGACCTGGTGATGAGAGAATGGGGATCTTCGGTTTGAGAGGTTTCTGTTTCTTTAGACCACCTCGTTCCCATTATGGCAAACCTCCCATTCACTTTAAACAATTGCCTTTGCGCAATAGACAAAGTGAGGAAAATATGTTCACAAAATAGCACTTACCCCTCTGGTTTCTGAGGAAGAAAATGGTAATAGAAAAGCACAAAACAAATAAAAGCTCCATAGGTGCTACTTTGAATTCACCAACAACAAGATATTCAGTATATACTGAATACATAAAAAACCCCAGAATTCATTTGCTAAATGCATTCCTGGCAAGTTCAGAAATATTCACTCATAATAAAAAGTCTTTGGAGAAGGAGGTATCATTTCTAGGCAGCAGAGTTTAGCAAGGTGTGCAGTGGGGCCAGAGAAAGAGAGAGAAATTAGCTGTAGCTATTAAGAGTTTTCACAAAAAAAGGGTATGTTACAATACTGTGGGCAGAACACTAATCCTGGAGAAAGACTGAACAAAAGTCTACTAGAGGCCCACATGATTATGACATCAACATTCTGTTCCTTCAGTAATTCTAGAATTGTATGATGGGATGGATGTTCATCATTCTTTGTGACAGATCTTTGGAAGATGGCTAAATCCATCAGTAAAAACTCTGGAGGATGGCTGCTGTCCCTAAAGTTTATATGGTGCATTCCATACTGGGTCAATTGGTGGCTGACTTCTTTCAAACAAGAACCTTCTGTAGACGCTCACCATGTAATACAAGATAAAAGGAAGATACAGTGATTCTGTTCTCATGAGAACAGAACCCCATTAATAGGCATCTTAATTTATACATTCTAGTCTATTCTAACAACTGGTGGTTTTGTAGCAAGGACAAGCTAAAATAGGTAGGTTCATGTACAGTAGAAATACAAATAGAGATCCTTTACATTATTTTTGTACCACAAATACTCTGTTCTCCTATTTTCCTGTCAGTTTCAAACCTCTTTATTTATTTTTTCTTGACAATTGGTGAGAAGGAGGTAAAGTAGGCAGACTAGGCAAGCATAAAACATTTCCACTGAAAGTTGCATGTCAGTTAGTTGTAATTAAAATAAGACCCACCATCAAAAGATGAAAGAAAATTCTTAGAAATTTGCTATCAAGCACAATTTAGGTTTGACTGGGGAAGGGTCAAATTGTCAACATTCCTAAATACTCCCGATAAGCCATTTTATTTATTTAATCAGTATAGAATCATGCAATACTATCTTTTCTGCTCAGTGGGTGCTCAACAGAATGAATCAACATAAATAACTAAAAAAGTATATCAGTTGAAAATGCTGAACAATATTTCATGCCTTGGAAATAAAGAATAATTATAAATTCATAAAGAAGGATTATTAAATGTTCCACCAAACAATGTTGTCTTCACCAGCCATCTAAAAGACAGTTAATCTAGGTAAGATTCCTTAGCTGAGAAATGCTATAAAAAAAAGCTAAGTATTCTTCTGCAGGTTCACTTTTCTAGAACACAGAACACAGGACTGACTTCACATTGCAAATTCTGGAAAGGAAAAGATCTGTCATCTCAAATGTTTTCATTTCATAGATAGAAACCAGCATCTTAAATCAAGCCTGAGAAAAAAGCCTCAGATGTCTATCCTATCCTTGCAGAGAATATTCTTGCATAGTATGTTCTTGTATTCTTGCAAATGTATTGGCAGAGTTCAAACATTGCACTACGCACACACGTTGTTATTTCAAACATGGCTTCAGAGGAAGCAGTTCAGATATGGAATTGAGCCAAGAAGGAAATAAGTTATTTTCTGCTTCACTTTATAAGCAGAAATATATGAAATGCTTCATGTAAATCATCCATGGGGTTATATATTTGATTATCATCAGTGCCTTTTAAATTTCTTTTGATGAGCCAGGATCTTCCTGGATGTACATTCCCCTACATAAACTGCCTGTTTTCAATATTACCCCATTCTCTATATATGGTCTTCCCTGTGTAATTCTCCTTCCGCTAATAGCTAGTGCAGTGGTTCTCAACCTGTGGGTCGGGACCCCATTTGGGGTCAAATGACCATTTCACGGGGGTCACCAAACAAGGCTGTCCGCCATTTTTTCCCCTTTTCTTTGGCCACGCCCCTGGCACCCGGTGATGTATAAGTGGTTGGGGGTCACCACAACATGGGGAACTGTATTATGGGGCATTAGAAAGGTTGAGAACCACTGAGCTAGTGGATACTTTGGAGAATTTCTGAATTAAACAGCTGTGCATTAGAGGGATTACTGAAATTCCATGATGTCATAATGATTTCTAGAACACAGGGTTGATACCTGGGTTTCCTTTGTGGTTTCAATTCAAAATGAAATTGCTTTGAAGACGATTACACATCTGCAAAGAAATATTGTCTAAGAACCGAAAAGTCCTACTTGCATAGCTGCTATGATAACCTTAGAGATTCTAACTGAATTTATAATATTTATAAGGTCCTAACTGAATTTATAATGTTTTATATTATAATGGTATAAAAATGATTTTTCAGCCTATTTGTCTTTGTTTTTATTATATTGTACTGTCTGCCAGATGGTAATAGTTCAAAAAAAGAATGTCTGGGATGAGATGAATCTTTAAGAATGTTTTGGGCTTTCCTAAGACAGTACAGTTCATATGGGTGGGGAGGAGAGGAGGAGATGGCAGCCAATAATCCTCTGGACCATTTTCTTATCTGCTACTCTGCAGTTAGCAAACCATACACAAATGCAATAGGTTAGAATGCTCTCTCTGGAGCACCAGTAGAAGGTCACTAGCAGATAAGCTAATCTTGTAGTCAATCATCTCAGACAAATGTCTATGGAGATTCTCAGTCATCCAGGTCACGGTTGTCCAAGAAGCTTCTTAAACAGAAGTGAAATGTCTTCAAAGAAAAAAAACAAGGAAGTCTAGTTGCCTCCTGAAAATACACCTTTGGGATCTCAGACAAATGGTTGTCCAACATTTGTTTGAAAACATCGAGTGATGAAGACTTCATAACTGCAGGAGATAAGTGGTTTCAGTGCTTTTGGTGCCGTCACATCGCCACTCATAAAAGTGGTGTATAGCAAGGGTATTCAAACTTGGCCCTTTTATGACTTGTGGATTTCAACTCTCAGAATTCTGGGAGTTGACGCCCACAAGTCATAAAAGGGCCAAGTATGAACACCCCTAGTGTATAGATTCATAAGAAGTCTCAAATATGTGCATATCTGGGAATTTTGCAATTGCAAAGGACCTCCAATTATAAGAATAGTCCAGTTATGTTATGCCATCCCATAGAAGACATTTAGAAGCCATTCCCAGCACAGAAACTCATTCTTCCAAATATAGAAAATGTCTGAAGTTTGCCACAAGCAAACACTGGATACATAGCACAAATGAACAACAATAACAAAATGGTTTTCAAAAAGGATTTATTGTCTTCTGCTTTCTGGAAATAAACTATCATTTCATTTGTGATAGACATGGGAATAATGTCTATCTAGCAGAGTAAGTGTTCAGAGAGAGAGAGAGAAAAAATACAGCCAATTTCTAGAAACTTGTGCTTATCTTTTATAAAGGGAAAAAAAAACCTTTGTTACAAAATTGCATTTAAATAGAAAACCTAAATACCAAAGCTGATCAATTCACCCTCCAGATGAATTCATCTGAAGTCAATGTTATTTTTAGCCAGCAGGCTCAATGGTTGTGCTAGCTGGGTATGGTGTGACTAGTCAAATGCATCTGGAGGGAAAAGGCTGGAAAAGATTGTTTTAAAGAAATAATGAATGAATATAATAAAAGAGAATGTCAACATCAACAATAATTCTATAAACTGCCTTGTATAACACTCTTTATCCAACGAGAATATTTATCTGTCAGAAGGGTGTAGATACCAGGATACTTAGACTGTCCACATCCTTTACCAAAGGAAATGATGCCTCTTTGTTCCCCTTTGCACATCAAAGGACCACCTGAATCACCCTGCACAAGGGAGAAAAGGGGGGGGGGTTGTAAAGACAGATTTTGCATTATTTGCAGCAGTTGTATTCATTTATTTATTCATTACATTTTTATGCTGCCCATCTGACCGATACAGTGACTCTTTATGCTTTTCTCTTTTAAGGGACAATTGTAATATACAATAATGAAAGATTCATGCTATTGTCATCTCCTGATTAGACTACTACAGTTTGTTCTACAAGGCCCTGCTAAAAAGATGATTATCAGAAGCTGCAATTCACACGAAGTGCACTGGCCTTCTTGATGACGTTTGCTAATCAGCTTGGCCAAATAGAGTAACATCTCTGGGAGATGCTCTGGTTGCTGGCAGGTTTCTGTTCAAATTCAAGAGGCTTGTCTTTATGTATAAAGCTCTAATTAGCTTGGGCTTTAGTTATCTCTGGGATTGTGTCCTTCCAGTTTGGGTGGGGAAGATGGGCGACAGGATTCTTTCTCAATAGGAGTTCTCTCACTCGGGAATAGCTTGACCCTCAAGGCCAGAAGTGGAGAGAGATGCCCAGATCCTGGTTACAGAATCAGCCTTCTGCCCTGAAGCATGTAAAAAAGGGGCAGGGCTTTGAATGTCTGGTTTTTGGCTACCATCTTGACTTTTTTGACCCTCTGCAGACCCCCTTGACTGAGTGTCTGCCTTTCTATGTCTCTGTCTCTTTCTCTGTCTCTCTCTCTTGGTCAAACCTATTTTTCGGAATTAATGGGACAGAAAAAGATGGGAAGAAGGAATCCTTGACATAAAAGAGAGGTAGATGGAATTCTACACAATAGACAAATAAACCTAAATCTAAAATGGCACTTTTCAGAAAATAGTTGCATTTCTGACAGCCAATATATATATATATATACACATACATACATACATACATACATACATACATACATACATACATACATACATATATATATTGAAGAAGTGGAGAATGTGTTTCTATGTGCATGTATCTCTGTGTGGGTGTTCGTGCTTTATCTCACTCCCATCTCTGCCAGCCATATATTTTCTTCAGGAAATGACTAAATACATTTAGCTGCATAAAGATACCATCTATTCTACAAGTGTAAATTCTGAATAGGTGGGGAATATAACCACATTTAAGCAAACAAGGAGCCAGCTGCACTTCAGACTAGTATTCTGAAAAATTCACAGTCTATTCTGCCCCCACCAGTGCTTCATCGATAAGTACAGGTAGTCCTTGACTTACGTTCATTTAGCAACCGTTCAAAGTTACAATAGCACTGAAAAAAGTGACTTATGATCATTTTTCACCCTTACGAACATTGCAGCATCCCCATGGTCATGTGATCAAAATTCAGACACTTGGCAACTGACTTGTATTTATGACGTTTGCAGAGTCCCAGGGTCATGTGATCCACTTTTGCGACCTTCTGACAAGCAAAAGTCAGTGGGGAAGCTGGATTCACTTAACAAATGTTTTACTAACTTAGCAGTTGCAGTGATTCACTTAACAACTAAGGCAAGGAAGGTTG